ATTCCAACACCTGGATACGTTTATTTGTGAACCATTCCATTGTAGATTTGGCTTTATGTTTTGGATCATTGTCTTGTTGGAAGATAAATCTCCGTCCCAGTCTCAGGTCTCTTGCAGACTTAAACAGGTTTTCTTCCAGAATGGTCCTGTATTTGGCCCCATCCATCTTCCCATCAATTCTGACCATCTTCCCTGTCCCTGCTGATGAAAAGCAGGCCCAAATCATGATGCTGCCACCACCATGTTTGACAGTGGGGATGGTGTGTTCAGGGTGATGAGCTGTGTTGCTTTTACGCCAAGCATAACGTTTTGCATTGTGGCCAAACAGTTGAATTTTGGTTTCATCTGACCAGAGCACCTTCTTCCACATGTTTGGTGTGTCTCCCAGGTGCTGGTGACAAACTTTAAACAACACTTTTTATGGATATCTTTGAGAAATGTCTTTCTTCTTGCCACTCTTCCATAAAGGCCAAATTTGTGCAGTGTACGACTGATTGTTGTCCTATGGACAGACTCTCCCACCTCAGCTGTAGATCTCTGCAGTTCATCCAGAGTGATCATGGGCCTCTTGGCTGCATCTCTGATCAGTCTTCTCCTTGTTCGAGATGAAAGTTTAGAGGGACGGCTAGGTCTTGTTAGATTTGCAGTGGTCTGATACTCCTTCCATTTCAATACGATTGCTTGCACAGTGCTCCTTGGGATGTTTAAAGCTTGGGAAATCTTTTTGTATCCAAATCCGGCTTTAAACTTCTCCACAACAGTATCTCGGACCTGCCTGATGTGTTCCTTGGTCTTCATGATGCTCTCTGCGCTTTGAACAGAACCCTGAGACTATCACAGAGCAGGTGCATTTATACGGAGACTTGATTACACACAGGTGGATTCTATTTATCATCATCAGTCATTTGGGACAACATTGGATCATTCATAGATCCTCACTGAACTTCTGGAGTGAGTTTGCTGCACTGAAAGTAAAGGGGCCCAATAATATTGCACGTCCCACTTTTCAGTTTTTTATTTGTTAAAAAAGTTTGACACATCCAATAAATTTCATTCTGCTTCATGATTGTGTCCCACTTGTTGTTGATTCTTCACAAAAAAAATAAAAATTTTATATCTTTATGTCTGAAGCCTGAAATGTGGCAAAAGGTTGAAAAGTTCAAGGGGGCCGAATACTTTCGCAAGGCACTGTAAATGTTTATTTTTTAGACATTGATGTTGTAAAGTTACAGCTGTTTGTTAAGAAATGTGCCTGTGTGACAATTGGGACAAAGCTTTGACTCAGAAATATATTTTTGTTATTACTTTCTGGAAAGAAAAAAATATTGAGATGTATATCTTATATCATATATCGCGATTTATCTTAAAATATCGATATATTAATTTTGGTCCATATCGCCTAGCTCTACCTCCACCCCATGGCTGCACCGAGAAATTCTGTTTATAAAAGTTATGAACAGAATCGGTGTCAACGGGCAGCCCTGGCGGAGTCCAACTCCCACCCTGAAGAGGTCCGACTTACTACCGATAATGCGAACCAAACTCTCGCACCGCTTATATAGGGACCAAACAGCGAGTAACGAGTCCCCAATCCCATACTCACGGAGCACCCCTCACAGTATACCCCGAGGAACACTGTTGAATGTCTTCTCCAAGTTCACAAAACACGTAGACTGGATGGGCAAACTCCCATGACCCTTGCAGGATCCTAGTGAGGATAAAGAGCTAATCCAGTGTTCCACGGCCAGGACGGAACCCACATTGTTCTTCCTGGATCTGAGGTTCAACCAACGATCAGACTCGCTTCTCCATTACCCCTGAATAGACTTTACCAGGGAAGCTAAGGAGAGTTATGCCCCTATAATTCTGGTCCCCCTTTTTTAAAGAGGGGAACCACCACCCCAGTCTGCCAATCCAGTGGCACTGCCACCGATGTCCACGCGACGTTGCAAAGGTGTGTCAACCAAGACAGCCCCACAACATCCAGAGCCTTAAGGAAATCAGGGTGACTCTCATCCACTCCCAGAGCCCTGCTGCCTCTGAGCTTTTTAACTACCTCAGTGACCTCAGCAACGGTTATGGACGGACCAACACCAAAGTCCCCGGACTCGGCTTCCTCCATGGAAGACATGCTGGTGGGATTGAGAAGGTCTGAGAAGTATTCCTTCTACCTCCCGACGACATCACTTGTTGAGGTCAACAGCACCCCACCTTCACTGAACGCAGTGTTATTAAAGTGCTGCTTTCCCCTCCTCAGCCATCGGATGGTTTTCCAGAATCTCCCCGGAGCCGACCGAGAGTCTATCCAAGGCCTCACTAAACTCCTCACACATCTGCGCTTTTGCCTCAGCAACAGCCAAGGCTGTGGACCACTTGGCCCTCCAGTACTCCTCAGCTGCCTCCAGAGTCGCACTGGCCAACAAGGCCCAATAGGACTTCTTCTTCAGCTTGACAGCCTCTCTGACCCAGTGTGTCCACTGCCCATGGCATCATGCACCCGACTTTTATGGCCCTTCCTGCAGGTGGTAGGTCCACAGGAAGGCAAACCCATGTTGCTCCTTAGGGCTGAGCCTGACATGGGTAGAGACCCGGTCACCAGGTGCTCGCCGACAAGCCCCTCCCCCAGGCCTGGCTCCAGGGTGGGGCCTTGGTAACCCACGTCCGGGCAAGGGCCACTGAGTTTCTTGTTTTTTCCTGTCCATATAAGTCTTATGAATCAGTCTTCGTCTGGTCTGTCACCTAGGACCAATCTGCCTTGGGAGACCCTACCAGGGACAATTATAATTGCCCCCGACAGCATAGCTCCTAGTATCATTCAGGCGTACAAACTCCTCCACCACGATAAGGTGCCGATTCAAGGAGGAGAGAATTTGATAAGATTTAGTGTTAAAAAAAAGGCATTCCTGTTCCTTCAGCATTTCTGGCATTTTATGACGAGCTGATTTTTCTGAAAATATTTTTTTAGCTTTTTACATACATTGATTGGGAGTGAGTGAGGGTGCGGGGTTTTTTTTTGTTTTTGTTTGTTTGTTTTTTTACACTAAATCTCATCAAATTCTACATAAAGTCTTAGATTCCTCTTTTGATCCATGTTAAATAGAAACATTCTGATTTTGATTTCTGCCACGTGTTTAATCCATTTCCTTTCTTTTTGTGCATGTTTCTTTGTACAGGATGTTATCAAAAAATCTTTGGAGGACAAAAGAAAAATAGAAGAAGAACGAAAGAGGATTGAGGAAAAGAAGGCAAAACTATCTGGACAAACCTCTGCTCTTGACAGATTCAAAAAGTAGAGAAGGACTCTTTGTGTTGCTGAGAATGCATTGACGTTCTTTGGGGCGGACCTTTGACCTTCATATAAAAGACACACTTTATTTGAACATGTTAATGTGCTGTAGCAGCAGGACGCCAACAGCAGAAACTTTGTAGTGAGAATGCATTCTGAAGGGAAGCTGTTCATCAAATCAAAATTTGCTGGTCTGATTTCGTGAACGATTGCAGCCTGAAGTGCATCCTGTACATGTTAACCCAACATGATGAGCTTTAGTTGACACTGATCATCATCCCAAGGTTGTGTTAAATGCCTGTTGATTTTTGTACCAATAAACACAATCTCCAGAGGTATTTGAACTTGTTTTTGTCCAAACAATGAATCTGTTGTCCTTATGTTGCTGGGATCATTTAGCATGTTTCATGGTTTATACCAATAACTTAAAAATAAGCAACTGTTTTGATCAAATCTCAAATTATACATTCTGCACAATCTCATGCTATATTGAGAGATCTTGTGAAATGTGTTTGTTCTGAACGTATGCTTTGAGGATTACTCAGCTACAACCACATCCAACTTTAGCTCATAATCTGAATTGGATTGAGTTGTGTTGGCGAAGTGCAATTAGCTGTGATGATCATACACAAGCAGAACTCATCTGGAATTGGACTGACTCCAAAAGTGAATCAACTGTAGATATAAACCCAAAGATTATTTTCTGAAAGGTATGAAAATCCAGACGTGAGCAATAACATTATCGCCCTTGCACCTTCAGTGGTAAGCAATAAATGGCAGGTGTAAGGGAAAATACCAGTACTACAATTTAGGCCCAAGTTGTAGTTCAACTTAAATTTTTTTAAATATAATAGCTTGCGTACAAATATAAAAATAACTTCCTGAAACGATAAATGATTTGCACCTGTTCCAGAGACTGATCAAGACCAGTAGTATTACATTTGAAATCTATTCTGGTTCCTTTACAAACATCTTTGAAACCTGCTTCAGCAAACTTGCTCATTTTTAGTCTTCTGCTATTTTTTGGCTTTAGAACGTTTAGCTAGCATTTATCTATGTTTAGCATTGTGCTACTTGTAGCTTTTATGTAATGTTTTACTTTTTTCTTCTTCTTTTCTTGCTTTCAGTTAGTCTTTAGCTTTAACAACTCAGTTTCAACTTTGGCTCATTTCAGCAGTCATTCAGCATTTGCACTGTATTTTATTATTATTTATATTTGATACTGTTTATCCCAATTCTATGCTATTATATTATTTATCCGCATCCGTTGACTAATTTTAAACTTTTTAACTTTTTTGATCAAATAAAAAAAATCTAATAAAGTTTATTTTAATTCAATTCAGTTTATTTATATAGCGCCAAATCACAACAAAGTTGTCTCAGGGCACTTTACAGAAACATTCACATACATAAAAGCCAATTAGTAAAGTTCTCTATCTAAGGAATCCAGCAGACAAGTTGAATCTTGGCTTCGTTGCAGTCTCCCAAACTGAGCAAGCACAGTGGCAACAGTGGAAAGAAAAACTCCCTTTTAAAGGAAGAAACCTCCAGCAGAACCAGACTCAGGACAAGCGGCCATCTGCTTTGACCGGCTGGTTTGAGAGGACAGGAAGGAGAGACAGATGAACACAGAATGGTAGGTCCAGATATAGGTCCAGGTGAACCTGAAAGACAAAAAAAAAAACGCGTTAAGGACAGAAAAAAATATTACAAGGTTGAGCAGAGTAAGTAAAGACAGTAGCAGAGAGAAAAAATGTGGTCAGTTTGTCCTCCAGCAGTCTAATCCTATAGCAGCATAACTAAGGGACAGCTCAGGAAACCTAAGCCGACCCTAACTAATATAATATGGAGCCAGGTTGTTGAGAGCTTTGTAGGTTAGAAGTAAGATTTTGAATTAAATTCTGGACTTGACAGGGAGCCGAGAAGCTAAAATTGGAGAGATATCTCTTGTAACTCCTCTGGCAGCAGCATTTTGGATCAACTGAAGACGTTTTAAAGAAGTATTTGGACACCCAGATAATAAAACATTGCAATAGTCCAGTCTAGACGTGACAAATGCATGGACCAGTTTTTCTGCATCATCTTTAGATAAGATGTTTCTAATTTTAGTGATATTACGCAGGTGGAAGAAGGAGGTTCTAGTAATGTTTTTAATGTGGGGGATAAAAGACATGTCCTGATCAAAAATAACACCAAGATTTTCAACATTAGAGCAGGAGGACAGATTAATGCCATCTAAGGCGGAGAAAGACTGAAAAATTAATTCCTAAGGTGCTCAGATCCAAAAACCAAAACCTTAGTCTTGTCTGTGTTCAACAGGAGAAAATTTAGGGTCATCCAGGTTTTTATGTCTTTAAGACATGCTTGTAGTCTAAGTAGCTGATTGGATTCATTGGGTTTAATGGACAAATATAATTGTGTGTCATCAGCATAACAATGAAAATTTATCCCAGGTTGTTTAATAACTTTACCTAATGGAAGCAAATATAAAGTAAATAATAATATAAGTAAAAAAAAAATTAAAAAAAAAACATTTTAGGAGACAATTGTCAAATGTGACCAAGAAGGGGTGGATGTAATGTAACGTGCTGCTGTAGTGTGCAGTGGTGTAACTACCTTCATGAACTGTCCTAAATGCAGACGTATGTGCAGCAGGGTGCGTTGTGGTAAAACTAGATTTAATGTGTTGTTCGTTGCATGGTCACAAAGAACACATTGTCTCTGGAATGTGACAGTTGTCACTATCTAAAAATCACCAAACAGCAATTCAAGTGATCCGTTTATTACTAAAACATCACGCAAACATACCGGAGTACAGGTACAAACCTGTTTCATAGAGAGATGAGACCAGAAATTGAGTTGTTCATTCAAATCAGGAGTGTTGCAAATATATTAAAAACACACCTTTCATTATCAGATCAACAGCCTGCCCAGCTCGTTGGCAACAGATTCAGGTGGACTTGTTTTGCAGCATGTTAATTACCTGCAGAGCAGATGAAATGTTTTCATACTTCATGCTTGTGAAAATGAAACCCTAGTTATTGGACTGAGAGGAAATTCACCAACAAGTTGAGTAAAAGAAACTCAAGCCAGTCAGATGTGATCAAATTCCCAACACTCTTTTATTAACTTCACATTTACATAGAACAAGGTAAATATTTGAATATTAATTAGACTTGACCCATTTCCTGCAGGATAATATGAGTGAAGGTGTCTAAAGCTGCTAACTAATGTTCTCAGGTCAACCAGGAATGACTGCCTGCCAAAAAAGGTAAAATGTGTGTTTTTATCCAAATATTTTATGAAACAGAATAAAACAGCAAAACAAACAACTGATAACTTTTTAACCTAATTTAACATGCCTGCCACAGTTAACCAACCTTGGAAAACATGCTACACCTTCGTCAATTTTACATATTCTGATACCATTTGGTGTGGTTGTAGTTGAGTCCTGAAAAGTACACACTCCAGGAGACACTTACTGTGCAAGATCTTTGCTTAAAATATCAACATTAACAATTGTAGTTGACCCTATTTGTTTTTTAGCTAAATATTTCATGAAACTTCTTCTTCTTCTGGCTGTTCCCTCTTCATGGGTCTCCACAGTGAGTCCTCCTCCTCCATCTCATTCTGTCCTCTGCATCCTCTGTCCTCACTCCAACTACCCCCATGTCCTCTCCAACTGCATCCAGATATCTCCTCTTTGTATTTTTCCTGGCAGCTGCATTTCTAACATCCTTCTACCAGTATACCCACTGTCCCTCCTCTGGACATGTCCAAACCATCTCAGTCTGGTCTCTCTAACTTTATCTCCCAGTTGTTCAGCCTGTGCTGTACCTCTGATGATCTCATTCCTAATCTTATCCATTCTTGTCACTCCTAAGGAGAACCTCAACATCTTCATTTCTGCCTCTTCCAGTTCTTACTCCTGTCTTTTTGTCAATGCCACTGTCTCCAGACCATACAACATAGCTGGTCTCACCCTGTCTTGTAAACTTTTCCTTTAAACTTTGTAACCATTATTGTTGCAAATCACTTCTGAAACTTTTCTCCATCCACTCCATACTGCCTGGACTTTCTTTTTCACCTCTTTACCAAACTCCCCATTTTTTCTGGACAGTGGACCCCAAGTACTTTAAGTCCTGCACCTTTGTGACCTCTGCTTCTTGTAGCCTCACTGTTCCACTGGCCTCCTTCTCATTCACACACATGTACTCTGTCTTACTACAGCTAACTTTCATTCCTCTTCTTTCAAGTGCATACCTCCATCTCTTCAAGTTCTCTTCCACCTGTTTCCTGTTCTCACCACAGATCACGTCATCTGCAAACATCATCGCCCATGGGGATTCCTGCCTGACCTCATCTGTTAGTCGGTCCATCACCAAAGCAAACAAGAAGGGGCTCAGAGCCGATCCTTGATGCACTCCCACCTCCACCTTGAAGCTACATGTCACTCCAACATCTCACCACTGTCCTTCTGTCATCATACATGTCTGTACCAGTCTAACATACTTCTCTGCCACTCCAGATTTCCTCATGCGATACCACATTTCCTCCCTCAGTACCCTGTCATATGCTTTTTCTAAATCCACATAGACACAATAAAGTTTTTTCAGACCCTCTCCATCAGCATCCTCAAAGCAAAAATGTCATCTGTGGTGCTCTTTCTCCACATGAAACCATACTGATGCTCACTCATAGTCATCTCTTGCCTAGTTCTTGCTTCCACAACCCTCTCCTGGATCTTCATTTTGTGAGTCATCACCTTAATTCCCCTGTAGTTGCTACAACTCTGTACATCACCCTCGTTCTTAAAAATGGGCACCAGCATACATCTTCTCCATTCCTCAGGCATTTTTTCACCCTCAAATATACCATTGAATATTTGAGTCAAAAACCTCACTGTCATCTCTCAAAGACATTTCCAAACCTCCATTGGTATGTCATCAGGTCCTACTGCCTTCTCCTTCTTCATTTTTTTCAGAACTTTTTGAACTTCACCCTCGCTAATCTTTCCCACTTCCTGGTCCAGTTTCTTTGACCTCTACTCTTCTTTCTTCATTCATTAGCTCTTCAAACTACTCCTTCCATCTTTCCATCACAGTCTCTTCACTTGTTAGAACATTACCATTCCTATCTTTAACAAGCCTAACCTGCTGCACATCCTTTCCAACCTGATCCCTCTGTCTCGCCAATAATCACTGTGAAAAACCATATCATGTTGCTGCTGATCTGTTTCATGTTGCTGCTGATCTGTTTCAATGTTGATGTGTTCATGCATGCACATCTGCTCACAGACTCATGTTCATGTTTGTGCTGATGTTCAATGTTTTTATGTTATGAGTGCTTAGTGTATATTTAGTTGATGTTTTTCTTAGTTCATATCTTAGATGTTATTACTGTTTTTCTTATACATTTTATTGTTGGATGTAACTGGGACCCTGTGTACATAATTTCGCTCCACCACATGTACCACATGAGGTGCGAATGACAATAAAGAAACTCTGACTCTGATAAAAGTCCTTCTCGCCCTCTTTAGTGTCCAGCCTCCCATACAACTCATTTTCCACTTTCTACTTTGCCTTTGCTACCTTCCTTTTTGCTGTACATTGCATCTCCTTATATTCCTCTCACCTCTCTTTAGCCCTCTCACTTCATTCAGATCCTTCCAAAATATATCTTTCTCATTTATGTCACATCCAACCTGTGGAGCATAACCACTGACAATGTTTAGCATCAGACCTTCTACTTCTACCTTCTCTTTTCATCTCTACTACATTCTTTGACAACTCCTCCTTCTTGTTTTGCATTATTAGTGTTTAGCGTATATCTTAGCTCTTTATTTACTGTTTCTTTTTACACTTTATATTTTTGCTATTGTTGGATGTAACTGGGTCCCTGTGTACATAATTTTGTTTCACTTCATGTACCGCATGTGACGAAATGACAGTAGACCTACTTGAACTTGAACTTCAGGATCACCCCTACTCCATTTTTCTTTCTATCCACACCATGGTAAAACAGTTTGAACCCTGCTCCAATGCTGTGAGCCTTGCTGCCCTCAGTCTCTTGGACACAAAACATCTACCTTCCTTCTCTGCATCATGCTGTCATGACATCAGCTGTCATTGTCCCCACATTTAGAGTTGCTGCCCTCAGTCCTACATTCTTGACTTTCCTCTTCTCCCTCTGTCTCCTGACACCTTTCCTTTCTCATAGTCTTCAACTAACAGTAGCACATTTTCCACCGGCACCCTGTTTGTCAACAGCAACGTTGGTGGTCGTTGTTAAGCCGAGCCTCGACCAATCTGGTATGACTTCACTTTAATGAATTTGCATATTAGTTCTGGCAAAAGTGTTTTACCTCGCATGCCCTTCCTTCCACAACACTCACCATTTACCCGGGCTTGGGATCTGCACAAGAGGTACACTGGCTTGTGCTCCCTGGTGGCTGGTTTCAAAATATTTTATGAACCGATTCAACACTCAGAAAGTAATTGAATGAAAATCCATATCTGATTAAGTTTTGGAGTTAATCCAATTGAAGATGTCTGCCACAACTAATCAACTTTTGTCAACACAAGTATGTCTATAGCTCAGACAATTTTACAGTCATTAAGCTAAAATTGGATGTGGTTATTGCTGAGAGCCATCCAGTGACTTCTTGTGATGTTACATGAGATTTCACATAATGTTATTTTTAAGGTTGGACCCCATAACAGAATAATCTAATAGATGCTTACGGCTGGAACAAAATGGCAACAACTCTCATTTCTCAATATGAGCTTATCTTACAGCTTAAATTGCTTTAGAAATAGAACAAGATAGAAACTTGACAGCTAAGAGTATTTCTAGTTGTCACAGAATAGAGAAAATTAAGTTTGAAGTCAAGAAATAAAAAAATAAATAAAAAAAAGGAATATTGAGGCAGCACAGTGATGCAGTTGGTAGAGCTGCCGCCTCTCAGCAAGCAGGTTGCTCAGGTTCAAATCCTGGTCCGGGGACCTTTTTGGGTGGAGTTTGCATGTTCTCTCCGTGCATGCGTGGGTTTTCCCCAGGTACTCTGGTTTCCTCCCACAGACCAAAAACATGCATGTTAGGCTGATTGTGTAACTCTAAATTGTCTCTAGGTGTGTGAAAGAGAGTGAATGGTTGTTTGTCTCGTTGGTGTGTACCCTGATGGACTGAAGACCTGTGTCCCCCGCCTCTCACACAGTGACTGCTGGACATGGGGACCAGTGACCCCCACAACCAGAAAAGAAAGAAGCGGGTAAAAGATAATGGATGGATGGAATATTGAACAGAAAGACAGCTGGAGAAAGAAAAAAAAAACGGGCAAAGAAGATGGATGGTGTGGTTAGATGTGAAGTACAGTTTTTGCTTCTGTGTTTCTTTATTGTTGCCCAAATTAAAATAACCAACAAAAACACACATTTCCTGAGTAGCTATACACAGATGTCTGTTCAAACAGTGCATAAAAGAAACAACCAGGTCATACAAATAAATGTAAATCCACGACTTTCCATTTGTCACTGATTTTACTATTTCACAGAAAAGTTCAATGTATTTGCACTGCAGCTGTTTTGTCTCAACAATCTGCTGCAAACTGAAACTACAAGAGAAGTGCAGCCGTCTGTGGAAGCTCCACTTAGATTTGAGGTTTACATTATTACACCAAAATCAATATGGCTCCTACCCTGAAATTGTTTCATTTAGCTGAGTTTATTAATTCACATGATGTAACCTTTATTGCAGGTTGTTTTTGAAGACATGCATTTAAATTAAGTCATCTGGTGAAAGACTATGTGTAAATATAAATAAATATAAATATTTCATGAGGGTTGCAGCCTTTAAATAACAAGTCTGTTGTGACAGAAAGCATGTTTATGTGCATTTGTCCCATATCAGCTGTATTTCCTTGCTGTTTAATAACGGCATGTTATTATTGGATCTGTGTGTACAGTTTGTCAGATTAACAAGAAAGGATGCTCTGAAACAACTGATTAACACTTTTTTCCTGAAAAATCAAAAAGGTACCAAATGATGGACTATAAAAATAAAATGATCAAATAAATCAGAATAAATGTTCTCAGTGCACATAAACTTGCAGCCTGAAGAGCACTTGTGCTGTTCACAGTAGTGAAGCGAGGTGACTCCCTCACCGAGTTCTTCGTTGACCTTCACAGTCCCTGCTCCAGCCCCAAGGCTAAACCCAGCATCGCCCTGACTTTGCACACCCCCAGGGAGGCCCGCTGGCTCAGCCAGGAGCAGGGTGGTGGTGCATGGACATCCTGCCAGTACTGCAGCATCTCCCTGGGCGAGATCTGATGGATGGACACCATGGCCTGGTAGCAGCAGCGTCCGTACGGCACAAATGGACCACCAGAGAAGAGAGGGCAATGCTCGGGTGTCACTCCAGCCGCCCGGGCGCTCAGACCCACGAAGACGTCCTCAGGGGGCAGGGGTGTGGATAGAGGTGATGCTGAGGCTGCGAGGGAGATTTTAAGCAGTGCGGAGCGAGACAGGACATAAGCCGTACCGCTGCAATAGTCCGGAAAGAAAGACGAAGGGTAGGCCCCTGAAGGGAGGTAGTGCTTGCTATCCGGGTCACGGTCTGGAGCCACATGGAGATGCACCCTGCCCAGGTACAAGTCTCCCTGCTCATACGGGTTACGACTTTTGTTCAGGAAGTGCAAAAGGGCACTGGGGTTGAACAGGACATCATCATCCACCTTGGCCATAAAGTGGGCCTGAGGGCAGAACTTGCGGGCCCAGCCCAGCATGGCCAGGGTCTTGAGGGTCAGGTTGGAGTAGGTGTCCAAAAAGAGCCCCTGAATCAGATCCCCCCTCTCTCTGGCTTCTTCTATCAGCAGCTTGCCGAGTCCGGGGTCAGAGGTCACGCCCACCATGAAGAGGGTCATGACCCGCAGACCTCTCACCTCCACCTCTCCCCCCCAGGTGTCCCGGATGGCTTGGCGGGCGCGCTGATTGGCAGGAGCCGAGGTAACCATGGTGATTAGGTAAGGCTTGGCACGCTGGCACACGAGCGGGCTGGGCATCAGGAGGAACTCCTCGAGTCTGGCGGGGGGGACGCTTTGCGGTGGGACCACGACGATGGCCTGCACTGCGCTCATCATGCCCATGGAGGTGACCCACAACTCGATGAGGTCCACGAAGAGCAGCGCCACCAGGGCTGCGCACGCAAGCACGGCGCACAGAAACGGCAGGAACCCGAGTCTGCGCTTTCCAAAGCGGGGCTTGCACAGCCCCCTCCCGAGCGCCATCCTCTCCTCTCACTGCAGCGGCTACAAATCCTCCGTGGCCCCCTGCCTTACTTCACAAACATCTCGAGCCTCGCCTAGTTTGGATCCAGTCCGTGTTCCTCCTCAGAGCCGGAGAGGCGCGTCAGAGAGCAGCTGGCAGGTTTTGTGCTGCAGCCCACTCACTTTGGAAAAGTGGGATATGCAGCTGCGCAAAAGGCTCGGTCGATGTGGCTGCAGCCTGGAGCAGTTTCCTTTTTTTAAACCCCGACACCTCAGTTAATGGTGTGCCTGTGAGCCTGATGGGACCGATGCTTTGTGTCTGATCTTTTGAAAACATGCTCCTCCGACTCCACTGATAGGCTGTTGAAATGTAGCATCACACTGCATAATATCTGAATCAGACCCCCCTGATCTGATAGGTCACACATAGGCTGTAGCGTATTTAGTAGAAGCAATTTACAAATTATATATATATATAAAAAAAAGGTTAAAGCAGGAATATTGCTGTTACAGCTAATCGTGGAGAAGCTCCTCCAGGTGTGAAAAACAAAGGGAAAAAAAATCCTGAATTCCCTACGTCAAAAATCAGATTTAATAACAAGTCAGCAGGTGCCTGACTATAATATTAAACCGAAAAAGGGGAAAAAATGCAGAAAATAACAGTTAAAATGATTATATTTATTGTAAACTTGCTATATGTTTGTTTACCGAGCTCCTATTGTCCTTCTGCAGTGAATCTCGTCACACTTGGAAGGTTTTGGCGACACCTGGTGGTCATTCTGCGGTAATGATTAACAAAACCAATTAAAAACGCTATTTTGCGCACAAAAACATATAAATGTATGGAATACAGAATGGATGTTTATGTTTAAGTCATTTTAGCTTGTTAGGGGTGAGGACAGTACTGCTATAATGTATAATACAAGCTACAGATTTTGAAATATCCCTCATTTTTTATACTTTTAAAGAGACAAACTTTCTTACATTTTAAAGATGACTTCTTAACTTTAAGCTCTAAATCATTTACACATAAAATGACAAGTAAACTCAAGATATGGACCAGTGAATCATTGAGAACAAATGTATTTTAAATCCAATGTTCAGACACTTTATGAGCAATTTATCACAAAGACTGCCTTTGCTACAATTTCTTGAATCTCTGAAATTTACCAAAGATAGTGCATTTTAAATAGTCTCGTTTCCAACAAGGTGATCTAATTGTCCAATACCAATATACTGTGTGTGTGTGTGTGTGTGTGTGTGTGTGTGTGTGTGTGTGTGTGTGTGTGTGTGTGTGTGTGTGTGTGTGTGTGTGTGTGTGTGTTTGGCCCTATTCATACTTTAAAGTTTGAAAACTAAAATTTAAAGCACATGGACTGAGTTTTAATGTAGCTTAATTAAATAACTGTTTCAATATAAAAGTAACTTTCTGCACAAATAAGTTTAAATATTTCTAATCCCACTCAAAAATAACACAAATAGGAGCTGTCATGAAGTGGTATAACTTAAAATAATATTTATTTTAAAGAAAGCAGAAATAACATGTTTGTTAGTGTAAAGGATGACTGAAAAAGGTATATTACTCCCAAAGTTACAAAAATCAGGATCGAGGTAACCATGAACATGATCCAAGAGCACACTCGGCCCAGATGTATCTCATGACACTAATTAGCTTGTCTACCTGCATAAGAGAAAAAAGTGTGAATAAATCATTTTTAAAGTTTAAACATTCAGAAAAGGAGTTATGAAAAAGAAAATAAAATTGCTACACAGCACAAGTAGCATCAAAATCTGTAATATCAGGAGTGCAAAATCCTTTTTGAACTGGAGTAAAGTTTCATCCGTCACTGCCAATGTTGCGTACTCTAGGTCAAGATCGTTGCTCAAATAATAATAATAATAATTTTATTTAAGAAGCTTCTTGCAGGACACCCAAGGACACTTTACAGGAAGAAACATATCAGACAAGATTGTATAAAAACAAACTAACTAACAGTGCAAAGACCAACAGGAATAACTTGAAATATAAAATACATAAATAATATAAAATACATCAATAATATAAAATACATAAAGAACATAAAATACATAAATAACATAAAATACATAAATAACATAAAATACATAAAGAACATAAAATACATAAATAATATAAAATACATAAAGAACATAAAATACATAAATAATATAAAATACATAAATAACATAAAATACATAAATAACATAAAATACATAAATAATATAAAATACATAAATAACATAAAATACATAAATAATGTAAAATACATAAATAATATAAAATACATAAATAACATAAAATTCATAAATAACATAAAGTACATCAATAATATAAAATACATAAATAACATAAAATACATAAATAATATAAAATACATAAATAACGTAAAATACATAAATAACATAAAATACATAAATAATATAAAATACATAAATAACATAAAATACATAAATAACGTAAAATACATAAATAATATAAAATACATAAATAATATAAAATACATAAAGAACATAAAATACATAAATAATATAAAATACATAAATAACATAAAATACATAAATAATATAAAATACATAAAATACATAAAACAAAGTTAAGAAGGATAAGCAAGTCTAAAGAGATGTGTTTTCAGAGCAGTCTTGAACAGAGAAAGAGAGGTGGTGTTTCGTAGGTCTGGGGGTAGAGAGTTCCAGAGATGAGGGGCAGAGCAGGTGAAGGCCCTGCTCCCCATCGTGGAGAGGCGGGCAGAGGGTACATGGAGGTGTAGTGAAGAGGAGGATCTGAGAGAGCGAGAGGGGATGGAGATGTGTAGATGGTCAGATAGGTACGGAGGGGTAAGACTGTGGATAGCTTTGAAAGTGAGAAGAAGAATTTTGAAGACAATGAGCGATTTAACCGGGAGCCAGTGGAGCTGCTGCAGGACAGGAGTGATGTGATTATAGAGGTTTGAGTGATGACAAGGGCAGCTGAGTTCTGGACCATCTGTAGCTTCTGAAGAGATTTGTTGGGGAGGCCATAAAGAAGGGAGTTGCAATAGTCAATCCGAGAAGTCACAAGACTGTGAACAAGGATGGCTGTGGAGCGGGGTGTGAGAGAAGGGCGGAGACGGTTAATATTTCTGAGATGGAAATAGGCAGACCGAGTGACGTCGTTGATGTGTGAAGTGAAGGAGAGAGTGGTGTCAAGGATGACCCGAGACTCTTGACCTGAGGCGAGGGGGGTAGCTGAGAGGGGGACGAGAAGATGTTCCGACTTTGAAATAGAGTTTTTGGTACCGACAAGGATGATTTCTGTTTTGTTACTGTTTATTTGAAGGAAATTGTTAGAAAATCATTGACTGAGTTCACTGAGACAGTCGGTGAGGATGGAGGATGGGTATGTTGAGTTTGGTTTTGTTGACAAGTAGAGCTGTGTGTCATCAGCATAACAGTGGAAATGGACACCAAATTTGCAGAAGATGTGACCTAGAGGAATTCAAAAAAGTGTTCAATACAAAAACAACTGGACTTTATTTGTAACAGAAGACGTTTCGCTCCTCATCCGAGGAGCTTTCTCAATTCAAAGAGCAGTGAGTGAGAGATTCAGGTTATAAGGCTGAGTGAGATAAGACACACACACATATGTAAATTGGCAATTCACACTTAAACAACATTACCAGTAAGAGTCTTTTGTTCCTCTAACACAGACGAGGCCCCCTCTGTTCCCATCAGGTGTGAAAACCGGCTGGGAATCTGTTTTAAAGTTGCATTATATGTTTTTGAAAGTGGAAATCTGAGGCCTCCTCCTCTGTTAAGAGACGGCTTTTCTCTTTTTACATAAATTGCTTCCTTCACCCCCCTCTCAAACCATCTGTGTTCTCGGTCCAAAATGTGCACATTTTGGTCCTCAAAAGAGTGTCCCTTATCTGTGAGGTGGAGGTGAACAGCTGAATCTTGTCCAGAGGAGGTGGCTCTCCTGTGTTGAGCCATGCGTCTGTGAAGAGGCTGTTTAGTTTCTCAAATGTAGAGATCTGGACAGTCCTTGCTGCACTGGACTGCATACACTACACCACTCTGTTTGTGTATGGGTGTTCTGTCCTTAGTGTGGACCAGTCTCTGTCTGAGAGTCCTGTTGGGTTTGAAATGTACTGCGATGTTGTGTTTGTTGAAGATCCTCCTGAATTTCTCTGATACTCCAGCAACATAAGGGATGACAATGATTTTCCGTCTGTTGTTCTCCTTTTTCTGTTTGTTAGTGTGTTTTGTAGATTTCCTCGCTGACTTGACAAAAGCCCAGTTAGGATATCCACATGTTTGAAGAGCTTCTTGGATGTGTTTCTGTTCCTTTTCCTTCCCTTCTGTCTTCGTGGGGACGTGTTCGGCCCGATGCTGTAAAGTTCTGATGACAGAGAGTTTGTGTTCCAGTGGATGGTGTCAAACAGAAGATACTGGTCTGTGTGGGTTGGTTTTCTGTAAACTTCCATGTTGAGGCTGTCCTCGCTTTCCATCTGAATCAAACAGTCCAAAAAAGGCAGCTTGTTGTCGTTTGCATCCTCTCTGGTGAACTTGATGTTGTTATCAAACGAGTTGATGTGTCTGGTGATCGCTTCTATATCCTTGGCTTGGATTTTGGACCTAGAGGAAGGAGGTAAATGATGACGAGGAGGGGTCCGAGGACAGAGCCTTGGGGCACATCCGTGGAGACGAGAGAAGACTGAGAATGGAAGGATTTAAGCTGAATGAATTGAATGAGGTCAGAGAGATAAGATTTGAACCAGTCCTGAAGTACCTGAGATGCCAGTGGAGGTTAATCTGGTGAGGAGGACAGAATGACAGATCGTGTTGAAGGCAGAACTTAAACCCAGTAGAATGAGGATAGACAGAAGACCAGAGTCAGCAGCAAGAAGAAGATCATTACTAATTTTATTAGAGCTGTTTCTGTGATATGGTGGGAGCACAAATCAGATAGAATCTCTTCATGAATGTTATTGTTGGATAGGTGAGAGTGAAGTTGACTTGCAACGACTTTTTCAAGAACCTTGATAAATGAAAAGGAAATTATAAAACTCCGAAGAAGTGTGGGGGTTGTGATGACAGACGAGAAGAAGAGGGAAATAATGTAGATTTGTCACAACCTGTCTGTGGTATTCAACATGTGCAACAATCTGTGCAGGAATAACCACAAATTCAACAAAGTTTCACGAATTCTTCTCTTGACAAGCATATGTATGTATATATATATATATATGTATATATATATAATTATTATGTTTTTAAACAATGTGTTGAGATATTATTTGTGTGCATTATAAATAAACTACATTGAGCCAGTGTTTTTGCTACTGTCAGGAAATATCTGAAGAAAAAGTCAAAACTTTTGAACTAGAGCAAAGCAGCAATTAAAAACAAGAACAAGAAGTAAAGAGAATAAAGGCTGAAATAATTCCAGCAATGTAGGAAAACAGAATTTAATATTCGATAAATGATGTTGTACCACTTGTACTGCTCTTAATTACAGACAGATTATAGGAAAATATCCAAGATGTACAGAAATACGAAGAAAGTTGTGATGTTCCCATTTTCCTGCTATATGTGACCAAACCATCATCTGTACTGAAGAACAAAGTGCTGACCAGTTGGGAGCATCAACACAATGTTTTATCAACCAAAAGCTGTTTCTCTGTGTACCGCCTCAGTGTTTGATACATTGAACTGATTTACTGCACAGTACAACTCAGCTGAAAGTGACTGTATATAAATATATATAAAAATCACTGTTGGTTTGAGGCTACAAGTTATAAAACTTTTCTGTGAACCACATGTTCATTAAAGACAATGATCATTCTGTCACTTACACTTTTAGGCTCTGAAACTTTTACATTTTTGTTTGGTTAATATTGTTGGTGTCTTTCAGATGTACTGAAACCTTTCAAGTCAGACAGGTCGGTTTGCATGTTTGCCCACCCCACCGCTCCCTCATGTCATGGTTAACCAAAGGTTGTCTGCTTGACAGAGGCAGACACTTATAGCTCTATATATCATGCTCAAAGTATGTAAATACATGGGTTTTGCACATTTAGATCTAAATGGAAATATATCGCACAAAATACATTCGACCGAACATTACTTACTGTTGAAAATAGGCTTCGAAGGAGGAGAGTGTGTCTGACACATTAAAAACCGGTGGGACAAGTTTATACCTCTTGGATTGAGGAGATGACACTTTTCATAAACGGTCTGCAGGAAGCTGCTGGCTTTTGCATAAAAATGATTTTTAAACTATATACATACATACAAATATATATATAATAAAATATAATATAATATATGTATCTATAGGCAGCACGGTGGCACAACTGGTAGAGCCTCTCAGCGAGCTGGTCGACGGGTCGAATCCCGGACCAGGGCCTTTCTGGGTGGAGTTTGCATGTTTTCTCCGTGCATGCGTGGGTTTTCTCCGGGTGCTCCGGTTTCCTCCCACAGACCAA